AGGCCGGGGTCCCCAAATTCCAACGGGGCCCGGAAAAACGGGTTTTTTGGGGGCCCCCCCTTTTTTTGCTTCCAGAGAAAAAAGGGTTTCCCCGGGGGTTTTCCCCCCCCCCCCCCCCCCTCACCCTTCATGCGACTCGCCAAATACCTCACGGCGCTTCGCGCTTGGTGATGTGAGAGCCTGGTCCGGTGAGAACCCGGCGTGCTCCGTCCCGGCTTTGTAGGGATGCGAGGTCAATGGTCTAACGACTACGGCATGCACGACTATGAGTAATGAGTACCCCCCCCCCTCTCCCCCCGCCCCGGAAAAGGGGAGCCAGCGGGTCTAGATCTCGCTACTAAAGAAACAAAACCACGCACACCCCAGAGGGACGGGTCTTTGTGATCCCGGGCCAGAGATCTCCAGCCGAGCGAAACATTTCAAAGGAAGATGCAGAAAATATTGTAGCCTGCGAGCGCGAAATTTCCTAGCGACTACCATTTTTTTTTATCATATTCGGATGGACTTTGAGATACTCATATGACAGCGAACAAGAAAGTACGCACCCGATACCTCTCGGTTTTGTGTTGAACAACAGTTGTAGACGCGCCTTAGATCCCGCCCACTCCCCACTTGCACGGCATCCCGTCCCCCCCACCGAAAGCTGACACTCGCTCGCGAAAAAACACACACGATGACGGACGCAGGCCATGGCCAAGTACTTGTGGAGCAACGTTACCCCGTGGCTCCAGGCCGACGTCGACTTCGTCACGCGCGCCTCGCCCTCGGACGTGTTCCAGGAATCCCCGTTCCTGGGCCTGCACATACGACGGGGTGACAAGGTCACGCATGGAAGGAGAGCGTCCATGTACCTGTGTAAGGTATGCAACCTGCATCACCCCCCCCCCCCCCCTTTTATTTATATATTTATTTATTTTATTTTTTTACCTTTGTTTTTTTTTCGGTAACCATAGTGGTCGAGTAGATCATGTTGTGCGGGGTGGAGAAGCCTCACTCCGCGCAAGGGGGATGATCGCACCATGTTGTGTTAAAATGGTCAAGCATCCTCGAGTCAGTTACACAGTGCTTATAACTGTCTCTGGAAGTGAAAGCACCAGAAAATAAATGAAGTCTTACGCAGCTGTCATCCGTACGCATGGAAGTAAGCACAAGATGCCGAACACCCTGAGCAGGATGCAGCTCACCCTTCATGCGACTCACGAATACCTCACGGCGCTTCGCGCTTGTTGATGTGAGAGCCTGGTCCGATGAGAACCCGGCGTGCTCCGTCCCGGCTTTGTAGGGATGCGAGGTCAATGGTCTAACGACTAGTTCTATCACGGTCAAATGTTGCTGGCGATGAGCGTGCGACATTCTTGTATGTTGTCGAACCCGCAAGCCCTCCGCCGTGCGTCTGCGAATTCTTCTTTCTCCTCTTACGATGTGCCGTGTGCACCGCCAGCGCTTGTTTTTGGAGAAACACGCGGGAAGGAACACCACTTTCCCCGACACGTTACTGTCCTCCCACTCGCATGAAAATACCCCCCTGTGTGCGCTCCGTCGCCCCCCGCGCCCAGGAATACTTGGAAGCGGCGGTGGAGTTCCTGGAGGGGGACGACAGCCAGCTTAGCGTGGGAGACATCAAGGGCATCTGGGTGGCGTCCGACGAACCCAAGGTGATCGCCAAGGTCAAGCAGATAGCACCGGACTACCTGCCCAACGTGAGCGAAGACGATATCTTCTGGGCCTCTGGCGGGGTCGAAGGAGGGCCCGAGATCGGGCGGACGGCTACGCGGACGGACAAAGAGGTAAAGGGGAACACAGGGGCCCAGAAGACCATGATCTCTCGTTTTTGTTCTGCCCACAACACCTAGAATTTCTCATAAGAATTATTGGTACAGCATGTAATTGACACCTCCGGAGTGGGCTCACGAGAGCACAGCAGCGTTACCAAGGGGTGATGCAAGATGCAAATAAAGCGGGCAGCAGGGCCAACTCACAGGTGAGGGCCAGGTGCCGTGTGGCGTTTTCCCAAGCTCAACAGCTCACACAGCAGCTCACGTGTTTGTTCACTCGAAGCGAAGAGCCCGGCGAACCTCAGCGAATCAAAATGAAAATTTCACCAAATATTTCAAACAGCAGTCTTTACTCCCCTCTAAGTCAAGACCGTGCGGGGTTCGGTCGCATACAGCGGCGAGGTGGTAGGCAAGAGGCCCTTCGGTGCGGCGGCTGAGGCCGACGATACAAGGAAAACCGAGTTTCGCGCTTAATTTTTTCGTTGCCCGTTGAAATTCGAAGTAAAACCGGCCGTGTTTTGTTCGCTTGGCGCTCGGCCCGTGTGCTTGTGCATTTTGACTGTCGGTGTTTCCTCCACTCCCTCCGTCCCCTTCTCGCGCCCCATCACACCCCAGACGTACGCGGACTTCGTGTACACGTTGGCGGACCTCCAGCAGCTCACTGCCGCAGGTGAGCTCCTTTTCTCTATTTTTTTTTTTTGTAGCCTTGTGTCTGTTCTGAGGTAGATACACTGAGCAGCTCTGAGACCCCGCGGCTAGTGCGAGGTGCATCGTTTTGGACCTTCGTTTTTGCTAGGATTTGTGTCGTACCGTTCCGTTTTTGCTGGAGCACGTGGTACGGTAGGGTTGGGTCCGGGTTCTTGCATGCCGTGGCAACTCTTACGGCGTGCTACACATCCTTGTCTTGACAACGTCTCGTGTCGATCGTGTGAGCATGTTTTTCTCGCAAGCCTTGTCGGTACCAAAGAAGCGTGTTTGCCCTTACTCGTACCCTGGACGACACCATCTGCGCTTGTATCAGACCTGTTTGTCGGCACGTTCAGCTCAAACATGGGCCGGCTGCTGGTGCTGTTGAGGGAGTCAATCGGCCTCAAAGACAGGGCTTCTGCGGTCAGCATCGACGGCCCGTGGCGTGCAGGACGGCGCCGCAGGCGTGCTATGAGAGGGGTTAGAGGCCCAGAGTAGATCGGGTAAAGGGGGCAAGTTGTCGTTTGGGTGGGCACCACTACTTTTCCCCTCTTTCCAGTCGAGCGTGCCCCCCTGCCCTGCCCGCCTACCTCTCTGTTTTGATCTTAATCTTTTCTCCAGAGCAACTATGCATACGATATGCTTGTCAGTACGGATGAAACGAAGGGGTTGACGCTGCCTTAGCCGCTTTCTGCGGAATTAGAAAAGGTAGGGATGGATGTGCCCGTTTTGTTTGGTTTCGTGCACCTTTGATTCAGGCATGCCGAACGATGACAGTTAGCGCACTTGACGTTGTTCTTCAAGGCTATCGGCGCGTCACAGGGCGACCGGTTCCCGTGAGTAGGGCGCGACGGCACCTTTACGAAGCTGCGGCCTCTGCCCTCCCGCTGATAGCTCTCCGTCTATGTAGACTATGTTTTCTCTGCGGTTTCGTCGATTTGTATATTTTTGGGCGAGATAGCGGCGGGATACTTTGATTCGCGACTAGAGCGGGCTCTTTGAAGCAGCGGGAAGTACATGCGAGCCCATCAGTGCAGAGAACGGTCGTAGGAAAAACAGGGACAAATAAGAGTAGCGTTAACTTGGCAAAAATGTCCCCAATCGGGTGCGACGGAAGCGAGGCAACAACGGTGACCGTTAGCCGACTTTCGTCACGGGGGCGATAAGCGCTATATGCCAGTGTTAAGGCCGCTTCCTTGGAAGTTTTTTTTTTGTTCATTCATGGCTGTGTTGACGTATTTTTGCAGTGGGTAAATGAGGGAGTGGCGCTAAGCTGCCCACGTTCTTCAGCAAGATTTTGTTTGTCCAAAGTGTTGCTTTTTTCAGTGATTATCAGTTCAGCATGTTTTGTGTATATGTGTGGGTGGTGGGTGGCTCTCCACTACATTGCCGTGCAGCACAGCGCTTTGCCGCCGCCGTCAATTCACCCTTTCCTAGTGGCAAACATTGTGCGTTTGATGGAAAGTTCGTTACTGTGTGAGTTTGTGCCTCAGTGCACACAGATGCTATTTGCAACCAAGGGTTACGTATCGTACAGCGTGCACTTCCATCGTTAGGTGCCCAAGATAGTGTGCAAAGAGTGTAGCATGAGCTTATCAGTTACACAACGGAGACCTTTCTTCTGCAGGATACAGCTTTTTCCAGAGGGAAATGTGTTGTGTGTACCTTTTCGCCAAGATGTTTCATGGACTTGTTCACGTTCGTTGCACGTGGCGAAGAATGCATGTAGCACGGCTTGCGCACTTTTTTTTGTTGCTGTAAGTTTTTGTTTTTGGTCCGTCTGATGTAAGGTCGGTATCACACCTCCGTGACTAAGCGGAGGTTCTTGTTTCGTGAACAACACCAAAGTGCATTGGTGTTCTTCGTGGTATGTCGTATTGGGCGTAGTGGTGGTCTGTGTTTGGTTCTATGTTTCTTGGGGTACGCGAAACAAAGTTTGCTCTAGTTGCGTGTGGTGACAACCACAGCCCCGTGCAGCACTAGCCAAGTTGTGATAGCTTGACCCCTTACTCTGATGCATTTGTTGGAGGGGTTTCTGTTGCAAAGGCGGCCCCGATATCTTTGCGAGGTGTGGGTTGTGGCATCGCCACTTGGTGGTCAGTTGTGTGACGCGGTAGGTACCTGTGGTGAACACCGGAGCGAGGATGATGGCGCAAGTTCCGTCTGCGTTGTAGACAATGCGCGCTTGTAGAATTGGGGGCATATATGGATGCATATATATGCGCACGAGATTTTCCCTCCAGGAATCAATAGTACACGTCGTACAGACGTGCTGCGTTGTGACTCCCTCTTGCCAAGCGTCGGCGTAGCTATGCCGTTTTCCGCGGCATCATGTGTGTGGGGTTGGCTGGAGCACTGCCAGTTGCAGTTTTTTTTTTTTCGCCGCCAGGCCCTGGTGCGTTAAACGTACAAAGGTGTAGACTAGCTGTCCCAGAGTGATGGGACGTTGCAGCTTCGTAAAACTAAGGAATCTTCGCCGTGCGCGGTGACAATCGTGCTGCGACAAGGGTCATAGCGATAAGGTGCAACATTGGAGCGGCTCGAAACCGTTCGCCAATTTCGATTTTCCTGTACTCGCCTCTTTTTTTACGACTTAAGAGCTCTATTGGAGGCGGAGGCACGCCAGCTCCCCGCTGTCTCGGACGACACAAATAAACGCGTACGCCGTGGTGGCGATGTCCTCTACCGCCACGCCCACCTTGCTCTTGCCGCCTTCTCTAGCACTACACAACAGGGAACCTAGTCTCGCAAATCTTCTCGTAGCCTTGGTCTTCTTGTTGCAGTGTTGCGTTTGACTGGACCAATCGGCCACACGGGCGACTGGCGGGCTATAATAGCTGCTGCTCCTGGGGTATGCATGCGAAGATTGCGAAGATGACCCTGTTGTGTGCGGGGTGTCTGCCATCTCTCGGGGATCTCCACAGCGCCAGCAGCGCCAGTATTGGTGATGCACACCATGCGAGAGCGGGACGTCAAAGCACCGACGCCTCGGCAGTATTTCACGATGGGCGTGAAAAGTGAAACGCCCTTTCATTCACGTGGGGTAGGTTTCGAAAGTTACGCCGTGCGACCATGAACCACAACATAATTTACGCGACCCACAAGATCGAACGAGCCTGCAGCAAGCGGTTAGTTCTGCACTGATGCCATTGGTCTATGGTATGCCCCCACGATCATTTCGTGGGTATTGATGAAAGGCCCGCGAAGACGCCTCGATTATTCCCCGCCCCAACCTAAAAATAAAAATACTAGACAGGGTTTGCTTGGCGTGTTTGGTTTTGTTTTTGGTCACTGTTATTTTTCAGGTCTGGGGACGCAATATATAGGAACCCATTGCATTTCAAGCAGTTGCGTTGTTTCGGTTAGTGCCGGATAGCAGACCTCGCGACGTCGAACAGGATGCCTCGAAAAATGCACGCAAACTACGTGGTCGGATTCCGAACCCAAAATAATTTGCGACACACGGCGACCTAGCGAAAAAAACACAAAACATGAACAGATTGCAGAGGCTACCGTAGTTTTCTCCCAATCCTATGAAAATTGGACGAAGCCACACTATAACATTGTTCCCAAGACTAAAAGGAAATATCAAGTGTCTCAAGTCAATCGCTCGAGCCAAAACATTAGTAAACCGTGCGTACGGGATGGTGAAGTTTCATTACCTCCACAACCGGCTATACTTCAGCGATGCATAGTTTCGGACTCCGACCCTAGTCTACAACGACGTTCAACGGAAGCCTGCCAATATTATCATACAACTTTCTAGGATTCACGAAGAACGAAACTTCCTTGATTTGTCAAACACGCGAAACGTTCAAACCATGCCGCCCCATGCTGTGCGCCGAAACATGTGTTGTCAACCCCTTCCAGACCCCCTGCCGCGGGCACCATACGTCTGTGAGTCATAGCACTGCCGACATGTCATTTTCAGCTCCTTCAACCACCCCTCGAGGGACACCAAAGAGGCATCCGTGCATGCCTACAATCGACGCACGAGGAACCTCCCCAATTCAAAATGTTTTTCACAACAAAGACATGGACGCCATGAGACCATCGCGTGTACACCGCTGAGCGGTTCTCCGCAGAGAGGCAGTTTGAGCCCCCAATCTCGTTCCAGGACGACATTGAAACACCACGTTATCGCTTGGATACGTCTGTCTCCCGAAACAGGGTAGAAAGGCTGCAACCAGCTGACGGAGCTGTTTCAGTCGACGGCGCGTTGGTTCGAACGCTGCGGTCCCAGCTCAAGCGGTGCTGCCGAAAAATCTCTTGACCTGCTCGAACCTGTCTCCCACGGCCATGGGGCACGTATCCAGCGGTTGCGATCTTGCACCGGTTAGTTTCTCCTCAGAAGGTGGTACCAAGCAAGGTGACTGCCGTGTAGTCTAGAGACCACCAAATGATTCAACCACAGAGGAAGGGGTCCGGCTGTTGAGTATTCGATGTGGGTGAGACACGTTCGGGACCGTACCGCGTACTTCAACTCCGCGGCACTTCAACGAGATGTGTACTTCAACGTGGGTCTGCGGTCCGCCTCAGGTGAGATGTTATTTTGCGGAAAAACAACCTCTACTTTGGACAATTTTGCTCTATCTACTACTACAGGAAAAAATCAAAATCGACAAGATGGACGCAAGTGCATGAAGTGGGGCTGCTTCACATAGAGACTTCTATGGGACGTTCGACCACTCGTCGCCCCGGAGGACCAAGAAAAACAAGGGGGCAGCCAAGTGCCCCGCGTTTCCAGCTTCTTCCTGCCTGCGAGGCGAAGACATTTATTTATTTGTTCATGTTGCGCTTCAGAAACCGCGGAGCCGGGAGTATATACAACAGCAGTTGAAGCGCCTTACATGCCTCCACGCTGCGCAGTCGCCGTCGGTTGGGAGGCCGCCACGCTTTGCTGCTGATGATGAGGCCTGAGCGTCTCAGTGCTTTCCTGACTGTCGATGAACACGGCTGGTCGGATCGGGCTCTGTGTTGTGGAGGTCTGTGTTTCGAAGTGACACAAACGGGGCAAAGAGCCGGGGCCGCGCGCCGAAAGGGAACAGGTGGGACCCCGAAAACACGTCCAAGGCGGTCAGTTTTGTTCCCCGATGACAAAAAATGGACCCCCTTGTAGGTACACCCGCTCTCGCCAGAACAAACGATGTTAACTGCAGTTGGGGGCGAGCTGTCTCTGTATGCTTCAAATCCAATGCATTTCCATCGTTGGCTACGTCCATTTTCTGCTCTTTGGCCATACAATACCTACTACGCAGACGTTCTCGGCCAACTGACCGGCTCACCGGTGCTCCAAGAGTGGGGGTTCCAGTTGTCCCGCGCGTGCGTTCAAGCTCGGCCATGCGGTTCGCTAGCTGCTCAAACCTCGCGTCGAGAGTGGCCCTGGAATTGATCCCAAGCTCGTTCTGGTTCATCAGTTGTTCTTCGACCTTCTTAAACCTTCGGTTTTCCTGTGTGAACTGATCGGCAACCCTGTTCTTGAACTCGGTGAACTTGCCGTCTTCTCCCTTGGCGAGCACGACGCCCTCCTCGGCCTGGTCCACCAGGCGACAACCTCGGAGGATCGCCCAAAGGATAAATGTGCAAAGGTAGGCCTGTGCGGTGTTTTTTTAGCCACGAGGACAAGCACGCGCAGACTACGTGAACATCCAATCGGAAAGGTGGGGTTCGCCGGAACGTAAAATGCATAGACCACACCTGTCACTATCAAGGCGCATGACTTGGAAACTCCCAGGCACGCCAGAGTTTTCACGATCAATCCGGGTGAGATGTGGTGACAATCACGATCAGCTTTCGACAACGCTAAGTGCGATTGGCCGTGTCATCCGACTCACATATGCAGTAATGATGGCCACCATGACGAAGTTCGTCCCGACCTGCGCCCCCCTGCTGCACAAAGCCTGTGGTGGGTATCCTGCATCAAGGCGGGGGCCTTCCATGCCGGTGAACCCGGCTGCGATGACGCCCCAAGCACCGCAAACAAGGTGCACCGCTCCAGCCGACACAGCGTCGTCTATCATCAAGCAGATGAACCCGCGGTACGACACGTGGTAGAGCAACGCCGACACGAATGATACACCTATCGCCGCATGGGGGCTCATCGTGGCGCACCCTGCGTTGAGCACGGAAGGCATCAGTCGCGAGAGGCGGGGAGGGGTAGAAGCGTGTCCAATAGACCAGAGCCCCGGTTTCGACCCGGAAGCAAAGCATCGCGATGATCTCTCTCTCTCTCTCTCTCTCTCTCTGTCTGTCTGTCTGTCTGTCTCTCTTTCTCTCTTCCACAGATCCCAACAAAGGGTGAACCGGTGATCTCGGGCTTTTGGCCACCACCACAGCCACCACGCACCCGTTTTCCCCGGATCTACGATTCTCCATCGAAGCTGGATCGCAGGCAACGCACGTCAAGCATACAGCAAGGTGGTGTAGCGGGTCACCATTTTCGGCCCGTCCGTGTTCTCACCGGCTGTGATGCCGACAAGTCCCGCGAGAATTCCGTTGCAGGCGGCCCCGTGCAGGTTGATGTGGGTGCTCCAGGGCCACGTAAAGACTTCTTTTTCGTGCTCGGCGTTGTGCTTGGCAATTTTTGCGAGAGTCTTCTTGCTGAGGTGAGTCTCTGCGACACGCACTCGCTCGGCGCGGTCGGCTTCCTCACCCCCGTCGACGTCGAACGGGGCTAGGTGGAGCGGATCTTCGATATCGTCACCTCTACGATACTTCGGTGTCCACCTGTGATAGCCAAGCTCGAAGAGCATCGAAAACGCACACCCCCAAGCTGCAAGGCCAGGTCGTGATATATACGTACGTTATTCGCATGCGGCGGTCGATCGATGCAGGGCGTTCAGCGAAGTGGTCACGGGAACATGCTTGTACTTCGACGGCATGCCGTAGTCCCCTTGGCCTCTATGAGAAGGCCCCCCTACAAAACGGCCGGTCAAGCTCGAAAACAACCAGAACTTGCTTCGCTAGCAGCCTCGTGATGCGTTCACGCACTGTGCATTCTCTAGGGCTAAGTCTTCGTCATCGTCTTCGTTGTTGCTGCTGTTGCTTTGAAACACTCATCAACACAGTAAGGGCGTCTGTCTGTGTAGGGAGATTGCCACAAACACAACAACAAAAGAAGGCGATACCCTGGAAGAGGTTGGGCCCTGGAGGTGTTCCTCTTGTTCTGGAAACACAACGCCTCTACACCTCCACTGTTGAGCACGGTATGAGGGTGTTCCGTTGTCAGTCCGCGAACTGAGCCCCCCCCCGGTGTTTTGCCATCGGGGATGGGTTTTCGTCGCTTGGCAACGACGTTGCAAAACAAGCCGATCACGTCGTGAGCTCGGCAATCAAGTTTCCGCTTGTTTTTTCTTGCGCTTGTTTTGTTTCTTGCGGTGACCATGGTGGTCGAGTAGATCATGTTGTGCGGGGTGGAGAACCCTCACTCCACGCAAAGGGGATGATCGCACCACGTTGTGTTACAGTTGGTCAAGCACCCTCGAGGCAGATACACATTGCTTATAACTGTCTCTGGAACAAAAAGCACCAGAAATAAATAAGTCATACGCAGCTGTCATCCGTACGAAAGGAAGTAAGGACAACATGCCGAACACCGCTAGCAGGATGCAGCGCACCCTTCATGCGACTCGCCGAATACCTCACGCTGCCTCGCGCTTGTTGATGTGAGAGCCTGGTCCGGTGAGAACCCGGCGTGCTCCGTCCCGGCTTTGTAGGGATGCGAGGTCAATGGTCTAACGACTACGGCAATCACGACTATGAGTAATGAGTATACCCCCCGGGCGTATTCAAATGTGACCGAGTACGAAATTTTCAATACATCTTGGGGGCTTCAGAAACCGAAAACCGTGGTAGGACCCAGCACTCGCCTGCTCCGATCGACGTGTTCAAGGCAGCACGTCCGGCGGCATTCTGAGACCCGGTGGTTGAAATCTCGCTGACGGACCCGCAGTTGAAGCCATACCTGGGCAACAGCGGCATGTGTTTCGAGAACGATAGGTAGAGAGTGGAGGTAGACCCAGCGGCCGTGGCAGAGTTTTCTCAATGTCGGGGAATGGAACTCTATACCTGCACGTGTACATGCCCATCGTGCAACACAGGGTTCGCAAGAAAGGAAGGATGCTGAAGCATGTTCATTAGATTTGCGGTTAGGCGCCGCGCATCTCGATTGGTTGCGCGAACTTACCAGCCGAGCCAAAGAAGGAAGGTCCCCAACGTCATCCACGCAGGATCATTCGAGCGGAAACCCGCTTCGTTGAGCTGGGGCTGATCCGTGTGGTTCTTGAGCTTGCTCCCGTTTGCCCCGCCGTCCCAATGCTTCGCCGGAAAGAATCGACCGCCACGGCTCCTCACCTTTCTCGAGACGAAAAGACCGATGGCACCACCAAACATGTGCACGATGCCTGACCCGGCAAAATCTATCACACCTGCTCCGAACATTTTCATCACGCATCAGATAGTACGGCCGCCGTCGCGAGTTTCCACGAGGTTGGCGGAGGTGCCGCTCGGCATCCAGGTTAGGTTCCTCACAGAGTAGGGAAAAACCAGCAGCGAGAGTGCAGCCCGCTACAGTCAAAAGAGTGGTGGTGAGGTACGTGTGCAACCCATGAAAAGACATGGCGAACGGCGCTCACTTTCCGTCGATAGGTGGAGTTTAGGTTAATTTTTTTTGTCGTCGCGCAGACCAGACACCGCAGATATCAACACATATATATTTCGCTCAACACACTACCCCGGATACATGACAATGCCGACGATGATATTGCATGCAATGCTTGCCCTGCCCTCGCGGATGGCTGCAATCGTATACGCGTGTGCTGAACCGGGGAGCCCTCTTCGACATTCCGAGGCCACTCGAGACAATCGAGAACAGTAAAAAAAAAACTGTAGTCGTCGGAATTGTGGGATGTATCAGACCCTTCAATGGTAAACAGGAGGACATAAAGAGGCGTGACCCTGGATGTGCCGCACACCATGATACCTGATTTCACCTTGCCAGCAATATCAACCATTCGCCTCTCTGGGAAATCATCATGCACCCTTGCGGGAAAAATACGCCAAATAGAACTCGAGGGCATCTGATGCTCTATCTTCACGAAGGCAGCTATGTTCTAACGTTGGTTTCATCTCCGCCCTTCGCGGGTTGGCAAGCGGGCGGGTGTTGGACTCACCGCATCCAAACAAAGGATATTCCCTAGCGGGTGAGGCCCATCCGTCGTCCGTCCACACCGCGTGGGCGAGGAGAGGGTAGAACAGCGCTGAAGTCAAGAAGGCGTCTGGATTCGTGGAGTCGTGTTCAGGGGGATGAGAAGAGGAACCGGCAGGCGGTCGTTGCAGTGAAACAGGCGAGTTTCATCACATCCGTATTCAAGCGAACACGCTCTGAGTGACGGCCCGCTGAGAGGACGGCCCGCCCTCACGCCTGCCAAACAGGGCATATTTCAATACTCGCCGAAATTGTGTCAAATGCCACCAACTGTGACGTTGCCGCCGTGATTGTCGAGTGAATGTGTGTTTATGAAAACGGACATTGACAGCTACAGATGTAAATATTCAATTCACTTATTCGCACAGTTGTTGAATCGGTTCGCTCGGAACTTGGTTGGTTTTAACGAAACAAGGTGCCTCTTCCTCTCCGAGCCTTCTGCTTCTTCATTGAAACTGAAGAATGCTCGCCCCGACCGCTCCGCCGGACCCTAACGCACCGCATGGATGGGTGGAGAAAAAAACATATAGCGGAATCCACTCCAAAGCGGTTCACGACGAAACACGCCAGCCAGCGAGTACCCAAGGGTCGGCAAGAATCAGCAACAAATTACCATGAGCAAGCCCCAGCTAAACAGCACTTACACACGAGGTAGGCCTTGACAGGAATGCGGTCTGCGACAGCACCTGAGAGGGAAGAAGAAGAAGAGGTGGGTGCGGTTGGGATTTGGAGGAGGTGTGATCAGGGTTGTTTCCCCCAGTTTCACCCGCCGAAACGTAAGCACGCGTCTGGTGAACGACGCATATAGACTTTGTTGGTTGTGTAAAGCGTAATGCTTCTGTTCCAACCAGCAGTCTCGGAAAACGCGCACGCGTTCGCGCCTGTCCTATCTCACATGCTTCGAATGAAATATGAATAGGCTATCGATGCTGGAGTATATTATTGTCACCGCAATTTGTGGCTATCGATCGCGTGGTGCATCTTGATCTCCCACACTTTCTACAGTGTTGCTGAACCGCCGATGGGCCGCCAATGAGTGCCCTTCAACCGGAACCAGTGTACTCCTAAACAATAGATTATCTACTACTCTGGAACGAGCAATATGACGGCTGATAGCCCCAATGTCTAACCCCAAGCCCACACGATACGTGCTAGGTTGACGATGGCTGGCGAAGTTCTACTGCAGGTTGATGTGCCGTTGGCTAAGTTCCACAGTTTGATATGCCGGTGGCGGGTTCTAGGTGTTGCCCACGGTATGCATTTCGTGGGCAGTTCATGGGCTGACCATGGGAGCATCCATGGGCAGCTCATGGGCGGTTTAACAAAACTGCCAGTAGGGTGGGAGACTGTGCATCTTCGACGGCGCATGTATCAACGACTATGTACGCACCTGAAACGACCGTCGTACACGTCGCGGCGAACGACCACTGGAACAGGCAATCAAGGAATGAGACGGCGGTGCTGTTCCCCGAGGTTGCCGCGAAGGGGCTCTCTGGGGACAACAGTCGGGACATGGGGACGGCGAAAAACGACGGATGATGCGGGTCGAAGAGGGATACCCAGACAGCAGTGGAGCGACAAGGTGCAATAACGGAGGCTCCGCTGCTGGGTGAGATGAACTGCTCGCGCTGCGCTCTGCGCGAAAACTCGCGCAGTTTTTGGTGCTTCATTGTGTCATGGACCGGACGAGGGCGGACAATATTACAGTCTTGCGATTTAACCTCTCGGGGAGTCTGCATTGCTCTCAGAGGTAACTTCGAGGGTGGGGAATGCAGCAGTACATGCTCCCTTTCAAAGTTGACATTGTGGTCGAGGGAACAAATATCCGGCATGCAAGAAGAGTGGTGCTTCGGGAAGCTACAGGTACTGCTGTGCCGCACTTATGTATAGAACACACAGCGCTTGCCTGTGAAAACGAAGAAGCTTGTCCCAATGATATGCCCTGCATCCTCCCCGAACGCGAATCCGTACCCCAATAAATACCATGCCACCAAGCTGACCGTAGCATCACCGATGTTCTTCAGCAAGATGTGCTGGGTGGACGTTTCCCTTATGGCACCAACCTGGTATTTGAGCGGGGTGCAATAAAAGGTTGCCGGGGGTCCTCTCGTCAACATCCTGCACGCTGCAGATATTCGGTGCAAGAGAGTTTGTTGCAGTTACCCCATACGGTAACAATTCGAGAGAACGCACGGGGGTGCTAGCGTTCTTCAAAGCTTGGTTGCTCCACAACCAGGGGCTTGCGAATAACAACCGATACCTCCCACAGGGAACGCCCTCGACGTGATACTCCGCAACCTACTGTACCACCTTTCTATGTCGGCAGAGTGTACCCTCCTGGTTGTGGAGAAGCGAGAAATTTCGCTAGAAAAACGACGTGCGTTCTCTCTCGCATCCTTATTAGACACAATGATACCAGGTACATACTATAATATACGGTGTTTGCGAACATCTGATTCTGGTCTTGTCTTGGTCTTTTTTATCCCCCGAGCGCCAAAGTCCGATGGATCTTTAGGGATCTGGTCTTTTGCTTTCGCGAATTGCCCCCAAAGACCCGAGAAAAGCTCCGAGTTTGTCTTTGAAAGAACAATTTTTCATTGGCCTACACACCCCGAGATACTCCCGACGTCCTCCCGACAGACGCCGCACCATCCCGTGGAGCTGCCGAAACACACACAAATCGGCCGTCATAGGCGACACCATGGCGAACCGACTACAGCAGTACCGCCAGCCAGACAGTCAGACAGAGTCACTGCACCGCAGACCCGATGCGCATTGCATGCTGCCGACATGGTGCAACTTTTGCGTTATCTTAGATGTATATGCATGCGTGAACCGAAGCATGCCGCTCACATGCATGCTCACAAGTGACACATCAAGCCGGCGTGAGGAGGGTGAGGCGGTGAGGCGGGCGGCATATGTAGATCTCAGGAGTGTGGCACAGGTGGAGACGGAGGTGATGGAGTTAGGGATGCTTCAAGCGGCGTGGGAGCGTGAGGAGCTGCAGCGCGTGGGTCCTGTGGACCGTGCTGCGGTGATTCATTTGACGGGGAACGATCGATTCCGTCGACGATTGACTGCGATGTGTACCACAACTTGTTCGCGTGCTGAAGGGGTACACACATGCATGCCTCAGCTGTTTGCGGCGCTACGCTTTCCATGCGCTCCCGGCAACTGAACTAGGCCAACCGCCTGTTCGTGAGCGAGTACGTTGCTCCATCAGTATTCCATGACTACTTAGGTTAGTCAGCTGGGGTGAGGGTCGTATTATAGTAGCCTTGTTGGGGTTGTTCGTGGGTCTACGGACATGGTTTGGATATGTTAGCCGTACGTACAAGTGTGACGCAGATGGTGTAGAACCTTTTAGGTCGGGGTACGGTGATGATGCACCGGGGCCCCCTTTTGTTGTGTGCAGCAGCCCTGCTGCCACTCCTCCTCTCTGAGCACGACAGCGCCCTGGGTACGGGCGTTGCCTCACCGTCTGAAGTTAATACACTACACAAACAATACCCGATAAGTACGCGGAGTACGGCCGACAAACACTTAGATTGATTGTCCCTCGAGGGATAGCCGCATCGGGTCATGTCTGCGTCGGACAGCGGTTCCGTCGCAGGGCTGGGGGAAGAGACCTCAGCCATGCAACAGCAACACGCCGAGGATCCGGCGATTGCGAGGCTGGAGGGCCAGTTATCGCAGCTGATGAGCGTAGTGATGGAGTTGAAGAGGAAGGAGCCTGGTGACGCCGTGGCGGGCGATGCCAGTAGGGGCGGCGGTGCTGCCGTCCCAAGCCAGAGAGAGGCTCTGCCGCCTGGGGGCGGCGGGGCGTTTTCCCGGGAAACGGCCCGTGATGGGCGAAATCACCCGCGGGAAAGCAGCTGGGACAACATACCGGGAGCGAGTCCTGGGGTTCCAGCGAGAGTGACGACTGGCTGGGCAGGTAGATCGGGAGCGAATCCTGTGGGGCCAGCCGGAATGAGCCCGGGCGTAGGACCGGACCGCGGGGAAGCGAGGGGGTTAAACCCCCAAGGTGAGCAAACCGCAATTCGAGGGGCCGGAGCATTTTTTGATGGGTACAGCAGTAGTAGCCAAAAACGTGTTACGGTCAATGCACCGCGTCTCGAAGGGGAGAGTCGCGGCCACGGGTACGACTCGTGGAGGAAGGCCCTTATTCAAGCCGCAAAAACCGTAGGCTTGGACGGGCAGCTTATCGGCAACGCCGAGAAGCACGCACCCGTCGGTGACCCAAACAGGCCTAGCTCGGAGCTGTATAGCTTGGGCTACACAAGTGATGAGGTTTAGAGGGGCCTCCAGGCGTTCCACTTTGTGACTACAGCCATCGTCCGAGAAGCCGACAAGGCAATCGTGAATAAATGCGAGACCGCAAAGGAGATCCTTGCGGAGCTCGACAAAGTACACAACCCGGAGTCGCAGGGCTCGAAACAAGCCCTCATGAAGAAGATGTTTCGATTCACGATCCCCGCACACAGCAACAGCAACCCTGTCGAGCATCTATACACGCTCGAGCTGCTGTACTCACGACTGCGGGAAAAAGGGCTCAACGCTGACACACCCTTTGTTCTCGCACACTTTGTCGATGCCCTTCCACCCGAGTACCAACAAGCCAAATTCTTGTTGGAGACGGCTACAAACCTGGACCGGGGCGAGATAATCAGGGTAGTCAGTACCGTGCACGCGAGCCTCCCGGAGGGGAGGAGGGCCACGAAGGGCCAGCGGAAGGCGGAGCATGCTTTCCTCGCGAGCGACGGTGGCAACAGGGGCGGAGCGCCCGGCCGCAACAGCGGCGGCCACAGCAAGGGCGGCGGCGGCGGTGGCAGCCAGAAGGGGAAAGGGGGTGGTCGCAAGGGCGGTGGTGGTGGCAACAGCGGCGGAGGCGGCGGCGGTGCAGGTAGCATGCACGGCCGCTGCTTCCGGTGCGGAGAGAAGGGTCACCAGGCGGCCGCCTGTACCAAGCCGGAGCCCCTGCGATGCGAGAAATGCCTGGGCTACGGACACGACAAGAGCAAGTGCT